CTGCCCCCACAGAGTGGGTGGGTCTCAAGCCCTCACCCTCCGGTGGTTCACTTCTTATCCACTATGCCACTGGAGGAGCCCCCTTACCTCCCTTCCTTCGGAGCTGCCCTTATCTTTTCTGTGTTCCATGGGGTGCCAACTCCGTATCTCCGGAAGCTTCTGGTGGCGGATCCTTGGATTCTTTGCAGAGAGCACAGGGAGATTCATAAGGTTTGACAGGGATCCTCTCAGCTGGATATCTGCATAACAGCTCACCGAGTAATACTGTGAGTCTCTACCAAGATCCAGTAGCCCATTGGGTCATCAGAATCATTGTGAAATGCATGTACGGATAATGTGAAAGAAAATTATGTACCTGTACTAAAAATTGTATTCTTGGAATTAAGGCTGGTCCACCAGGAGGTGACAAATCTTAGGAATGCTCCTTTCAGGCTGGTTAAGTGGGGCTGGTAAGATGGGGTGTGCTGATGCTTTGGAGGCAGTGAACCTCTGAATACTGTGAGTGTCCATTGGCGGGGCACTCAGGAGAGACACTACCAAGGCTCAGGGTTGGAGAATCCCATTTGCTAGCCTATTAAGAGACAGCAGGGCCTGTGAAGGCCTAGAGGGAGGTGTTCATGTTGTCCATAGTTGGTGGAGTTGGGGAGCTGTCCTCTGGCAGGCACAAACAAGGCTTCCCCACCCTAAGGGCAGGTGGCAGTGAGGTGCTGCACAAATGTAGGTTCTCCTAGGATGCATCACAAACTCTTTCTCACAATAGCAGCTGTGATGGTCACAACTGGTCATTCCCCTCTATCTTGCTGTGAGCCGATTGGTCAGGTGGGTCGTTTGGTTCTGAGTGTGGGCAGGCTCTTTTGGCTATACCAGAGGTCTCACCTCACTGGTGAGAGCGGGTTGCATCTCTCCTGGCTAGTGGATGGAGACACGGAACTCCAGGAGGGAAGGAATAAGTGGTTTTAAAGTACATCTTTCTCAATGCACACCGCTATTTCCCAGTCCCATCTATGAACAACGTCTACTTTCTGTGTGTGGCGTGTGGGCAGCAGAGAGGGAGGAGGAGTGAAGATGACCTGGAATATATCTTTGTTGTAGTTACACTGACCAATCAGTCACTAAATATTATCCATTTTTTGGGGGTGTGCCATTTCTCTAATGATCTTGGGCCAAATTATGATCTCGATTGCACCTGGGCATGCCCAGAGCAGCTCTACTAAAGTCATTGGAGTTATTCTGAATTTAGGTCCTGCTTCTGGAAAGCACTTAAGCACCTGCTCAAATCTATCCTTATTCAGCAAAAGTAGCTACACAGGTGCTTAATATGGCTGCTTTCTTGAGTTGGCAATATCTTAGCAGTGTAAAAGAGAGTGTGACCTATTAATAAGCATGCATGAATATATTTATGTGTATGTATTATTTCTGTAAATGTATATATTAAGGGTGAAATCCTAGTCCTATTCAGGTCAAGGGCAAAACTCCCATTGGTGTCAATGACACCGGGATTTTACCCTCTTATTTATATATAGTGTGTCTGCGTGTGTCTGTGTGTGTGTGTGTGTGTGTAAAAATAATGTGAGCATATAAAATAGATAATTCCTGAATTTTAAGTTCTGGTATTTACAAAATGCCCAAAAGCACAATAGAAACAGGTTTTCAAATAAACAATGTTTACTAGCTGCCTTTCACTTCCTTGATCTCATAAAGATACATTTGTATTTCACACGAAGCAGTCTTTGCAGGTGCACAATAAGCAATCAAGGCTCACCCCATGCATATCAGGAGAAACCACATAATATACACACAGTTTGGCTTAATCCAGTAAGGCAAAAACCAGCAGCAATTAAGTGATGTCATCCCATGCTATCTGTCATTCCGCGTCTTTTTCTGTCTGTACCTGAACCTGAAAACTTTAATTAAAAATAACTGAAAATAGAATCAAATATTTTGTAGCTGAGTTGTCCTTAAAAATATGAATGAGTCAGTTAGATAACATTCACAACACCAGTAGCTCAGAGGCACTTTAGAGAATACGTTTCCATGCACAGACATTTGAAACCAAAATTGCAATGTTCTAAATGGAATTAGATGAGTGAAACCATGTCATACTGAGATGAAATATAAATAAGTGCTTAGGGCCCACTCTATGAAAAATAGATGCACTTTTTTAAAGCATTTTCTTCTGCGGAGGTTTTACTTCTCTAGGACCTTTTTGTGGGATTGTTGGTTCCCCCCCTCCCCTTCGTGTAGTAGAATGTGGTTTTGCTACTTATTTAAACCCTTCTTTCAACTTAATCTCTATCTCTGTATTAAGCCCCCATGGACCTACAGATGCCAAGGGCAGATGGATACAATAGGCATTGTGTGTTCAAAGGTACAACCTACAGAAAATTCATTTGTTAAAAGTCTTGGAAACATTTCCAAGGAGGTTGCTTCATAAATAGTGTTCATGTGGGGCAGATCTGACTTGTGCTGCTGTCTTTTGTGCAGATATTCCATGAGGATATAATATGCCATTTACTCTCAAATTGATACATATAGTAACATTTAGGATAACTTTTTCTAAATCCCAGTCCCAGCTCAATCTCTCTCCCCTCCAAAGCCCCCACCCCTGCCTCTTCATTTCTTGTCCTAGTCTCCAAACCATTCCTTTCTTTTTTTTCTCCCAGTCACCATTAGAAGCATTTTCCAAGACCCTCTTTTATTTTGTACCAAAGCACGTACGTTACTGACCTACTCTCCCACCTATAAAAAAGGGCATTTGATGCATCCTCCTCTCATCCCCCCATTTACTTTATGCATCTGCTAGAGAGAAATAAAAGGGCATCTTCATCTCTCAGATTCTGATCATACAGCCTCCACTGTTCTGCATAACTCTGGTGGTGAGACTAAGGGTATAGCTACATGCTTATTTCAGAATAACTATTCCAGAATAGGCTTTATTCCTCGTAGAGTGAAGTTTACAGATTTCGGAATAAGCTGTCCATTATTTCAAAATTATTTTGAAATAACAGAATGGCTGTGTAGATGCTCGGATTGTTATTTTGAAATAATGCTAATTATCTCGAAATAACGGTGCAGTGTAGATGTACCCTTAGTGATTATTTCTAATGGTCTAAAAATTTACTCCAGCCTGTTGTACCAGTCCTATATGGTAAACAGCAAAACCACTTTTAAAAAAAAATTAATAAAAGATTCTCTTCCTCCCCCCCCATTAATGAAACAGCCTTCCTTCTCTGGCTTTCTACTGGCTTTTTACCTTTGAAACACAATACACAATATATTTAGGGCATGGGGGGAATTTGACACTCTGAGGTTCTGAATGCTCTCCATTCTTATTGGCTTCAGCAACTTGTGCACAGAAAGAAGGGATGGATTCATGAATAGCTAAATGCTGAGGGCATGATTCTGTTCTCTCACCAATGTAAATCAGGAAGTGATGTCAACAGAGTTAAATTATGGTGAGATCAGAATCTTGTTCTCTGTGTGTCTCATATGTCCTTTGGGTGTACAAAATGTCCAAACATGTAGTTTTCTCATCTAGGACCTGATCCAAAGCCCCTTGAAGTCAGTGGGCAGAATCCCATTAGTTTTACTGGTCTTTAGGTCAGGCCACTTGGGTTTCATTTTAAACTTCAGTGTTCTTATATGGTGGATGCCCAGAACTTGCATTTGGGTGCTCACATGAGCAACTAGCTTTTTGAGAACTCAATCACTTGGGGTACATCTACACAGTAGCATTAATAACACAGTATAAGTCTACACTACAAGCCTTTATTTCTAAATAATGGTGAGCTGGAGGACTTCTTATTCCGGCCCATGGTAAATCCCCATTTTATGAAGAGTAAGGGAAGTTGAAGGAAGAGTGTTCTTCCTTCAACTTCCTGCTGTGTAGACCGTGCCAAAAGCCAAATCAATCTATTTTGACTTAAACTACTCAATTGATGTAGCTGAAGTTGTACCGCTTAATTCGACTTTAGCCCTGCGGTGTAGACATATCCTTAGGTATCTTCATTTGTCATATAGCAAAGCTACAGTGAGTTGTTATACTTACAACAAATGAGCCTAGGGCGTACCACACAGCCAGAGTTACCCAGAAAATCACTTCTGTTACAGACATTTTAATATTATATTCCAATTATTGCATATTGCATCGCATGTCTTGGGATGGTCTTGGTTACTTGGTTACAGCATGCTCTTTCCATACAAAGTCAATGCATGACTTACTCTTCAGTTTACACTCCAGGCTTATTTTGCCTTCTGTAAATGGTTCCCCCTTGCTTTAGCTAGTATAGACATTTGGGGTGCATCTACACAGCAGGGCTTAGCTCAATTTGCATAGCTTATTTTGAGTTATGTCAATTGCATAGCTTATTTTGAAATAGCTTATTGCTATTCTACACAGCAGTTATTTCGAGATAGAGCACTCTTCCTCCAACTTCCCTTATTCCTCATAAACTGAGGGTTACAGGAGTCAGAGTAAGAAGTCCTCCAGCTTGACAGTATTTCAAAATTATTTGGAAATAACTGCCTGCTGTGTAGACATGAACTAAGTTATTTCGGAATAGCACTAGTTATTTCAAAATAGTGTTGCAGTGTTAGGCGTACCCTTGGAGTCTGAGCTGAGTGACCCTATAAGTCTATGACTTACCTATCCTAGTTAGCACAGATATTCTGTTTCCAGCCTATGAATACATTTAAATTCTATTCCTGTCTCCCAAGAAATGAAGCCTCAACCATGCTTCACTCATGTCAAGCCAGGCCTACCGTATGTATGTCCTGAAAAATATATTTCAGGATCTGTGACCCATGCAGTTTGACAAACAAGTTTTTCCTAGACAAAGGAATGTTGATTTACCTGTCTTCCTTGGAACATGTGTAAGTTAAGCATTCTAAACCAGAGCTATGGAAACTTCATTTTAAAAGGAAACCAAGTGTGTGTGTGTGGGGGGGGGGGGATTTGAACTCAGCAAGGGAGAGAGCATTGCAGTGTGAATATGTAGGTATATCTGGGAGTGTCATCCTAACTCTGGAAACAGACATTAAACTTTTTGGGGAAATATAAGGAAAAGCAATGGTACTCATTTTACTGAGGAACCTGCATGGGGGAAGATCATGATTCATGAATATTATGGTGCCAGGTTTGACTGAAAACCAGCAAGCTCTGCAGAAAAAAATGTAGGTGAGAGACTGTTTTAGACAAAGGAGTATAACCTAAATCTAGTGTACATGTGATATAATTTTTGGGTGGGTGGGGGAGAGGTGGTTTGTAACTGGTCACTGTTAATATTACCGTTGCTCATTTGCTTTTAAATCTTTACTTTTGTTAATAAACTTGTATTTGGTTTTGGTTTTGCTATAAATAGGTTACAGTGCTGTAGTTTTTATAAAGGACCAGCTCCTGAGTTGAACTAAGCTAGCTGTGTGAGCACTGTATCTTTGGAGACAGATCACTTAGTTGCTATTGTCAGTGTCCAGTAACGGTCTGGATACTACAGAGAGAGAAGTTGGGCTTGATGTGTGCACTAGTCTGCACAGATATGATGAGGTCTGCAGAGACCTATAAGTCAGTGATGGTGGGACCAGAGGCTATCGATTGCAGGGAGCTGAACCATAGTCGGCATAAACAAGACTGCTTCACGCTAAAAACTGGCAGTGACAAGGTACCTCACAACCAGGGGTGCAATGGGGAGGATCCCAATGTGCACATTCTGCTGTTTTTTCTCATTAAAAGAAATGACCTCCTCTGAGTGAAAAGCTGAGAAGAGAATTGCAATTGTAAAGTCAAATTCTGCTTCTATTTTTACGTGTGTGTGTGTGTGTGTGTGTGTGTGTAAAACACCACTCACGTTGCTAACTGTTAACTAACTGTTAACAATCATTTGTAACTGCATGTTATTTTGGTAGATAAAGAAAAAGTCAAATATATTTAGCCATGCACTTCCATAAGTGGTTTATTACTGCCATGGTGAAAGGTTTGTAGGTAGTGAGTCACAGAAAATTCATGTTCTGTTTACAGTGAAAGACCATTTCAGCTGCACAGATGCATATATTTATTACAAAGACCCTCTAGTTCAGGAAATATTATTTGGGAGTTTTCTTCGGGCATTGTTGCCTCCCATTTGCCAAAAATAGTCATCCCACAACTTACATAGCAAGTCAACTTTGAGACTTGTATTCTAAAATGTGTTCCCAGATGATGAATTGCATACTATGTCAACTACGTCTTTGTCATGAGATTCTATTTCCTATTTATAGTTGAAATGAAACACTTGAGACAAATTCTAAACCAAAGCAATTTCATATAAATCTCATAAATTTTTCTTTATGTGTGCATCAGTTTTTTTTTTTTTTTTAAAAAAAAAACCTCCTGTACTATCTTTTCAGCTCTGCAGGACATTTTCAGCAATCAACTTGTTTTGAGATCAAAGTAGGAGACTCTCAAGATTGTGAAACTCATAATGTATCCATGTAATCTAGATACCATGCCTTTTGAGTATACTCCCTTTCAAATGCTAAGGGGAAAGAACACTTAATCTTCATACAGTGCAAAAACATCCAAAATGTGATAGTTTGGGGGATAAAAAATAATTATCTCCATAACAGATGAAATTATTTAGTTACTTCCCCTGGCTCTTGCTTGCTTGCTTGTTTGAAACTATAAGTAATTTCTATTAAGTTTGTACTTCAAAAACTTTCTTCCATATTTTATTGCTTTCAAGATCCACACTCTCCTTTTCTTTCCTTTGAAGTACATCATTTATTCACCTTATGCACAATAACCTGCTCTGTTGTAGAGTTTGGGATAGCAGGAACTGGAATAGGATGCTTACTTAGAGATACCACTGTGAATGTCTGAAAGCAAGAGATGCATCCATCTCTTCCCACTATGCACAACCCTAATCAGCATTGGTAAGCCAGTTTCTCATTAATGGAGTTCTCAGTGACAAGACATCTTTCAGTTAGCAATAAGGGGAAAGGATAATAACTCCCTGTAATGTACAATGTGATAAGTACATAGTGTGTATATGTTATGCACAGTCTTCAGTCCAGTTTCTTTTAGCTGCATCATTTGCTTGCAACTGGGGAAAAACACCAGCACTTACCTGACAGAAATAGCATTTCAGTATGTCTACACTACAGCGCTAATTCGAACTAATGGACATTAGTTTGAATTAACTTTGATAGGTGCTACACTAGCGCCCCGCTAGTTCGAACTTAATTTGAACTAGCAGAGCGCTTAGTTCGAACTAGGTAAACCTCATTCCATGAGGCCTAAGCCTAGTTCGAACTTACTAGTTCGAATTAAGGGGTGTGTAGCCCCTTAATTTGAACTAGTGGGAGGCTAGCCCTCCCCAGCTTTCCCGGGTGGCCACTCTGGCCAACACCAGGGAAACTCTATTTCCCCCCTCCCAGCACCGGACCCCTTAAAGGGGCACAGGCTGGCTACGGTGCCCGTGCCAGGTGCAAGCATGCCAGCACCCAGCTAGCAGCCCCTGCCCCTGGCACGGCTCGAGCCAGCCACCCGATGCCCCCCAGCCCTCCCCATCTTCCCGGGACAAGGCTGGCGGCTCCCGGGAGCTTGCCCAGGACCGCAAGAGGCGGGCACCCGCCTGGGCTAGTGCGGACATCGTGGACCTCGTCCACGACCTCCGCACTAGGCACAGGAAAGTGGCCATCTAGGGCAGGAGAGCTGCCAGCCTGGCCACCCAGGAGCAGGTGTGCATGAAAATCAAGGGGGTCCACTGAGCCCCCCGACCCTGAGCTTACAATGGCCATCCTGGGGCAGACCAAAGGTCCATCTAGCCCAGTAGCCTGTCTGCTGACAGCGGCCAACCCTAGGGACCCTGGAGGGGATGGACCGAAGACAGTGACCAAGCCATTTGTCTTGTGCCATCCCTCTCCAGCCTTCCACAAACTTTGGGCAGGGACACCATTCCTACCCCCTGGCTAATACCACTCCTTGGACCCAAGCTCCATCACTTTATCTCACTTCTCTTTAAACTCTGTTCTAGTTCTAGCCTTCACAGCCTCCTGCAGCAAGGAGTTCCACAGGTTGACTATTTGCTTTGTGAAGAACAACTTTCTGTTACCAGTTTGAAGCCTGCTACCCATTCCTTTCCTTTGGTGTCCTCTAGTCCTTCTTTATGGGAACTAATGAAAAACTTTTCTGTATGCACCCTCTCCACCCCACTCATGCTTTTAGAGACCTCTATCCTGTCCCCCCTCCGTCTCCTCTTTTCTAAGCTGAAAAGTCCCAGTCTCTTTAGCCTCTCTTCATATGGGACCTGTTCCCAACCTCTGACCATTTTAGTTGCCCTCCCCTCTCCCACCTCCTTTTCCTAGTCTCCCCCAGTTTTGTTCAATAAAGACAGATTCCATTTTTGAACACAATTGTCCTTTATTTTGTACATCAAGAAGAGGAGCTAGGGAAGGGTAAGTGGAAGGAGGTGAGGGAGGAATGGGGGACGAGCCCCCGATGGGGAGGACTGGGTTGGCTCTGCGGGCTTTTGGGGGTGGAAGCTCTCCTGCAGCCCCCCAATTGCCCCCTCTCCCCAGATGTCAGCCTGCGGCAAGCGCAGCCGGTCTGATGGCCGAGTGCTGTGATGTGCCCAGTGTGGGCACGCAGGGCACTCCAAGCCAGGACTGCTTTGCAAGCGGGGCACCCCTGAGAACTGTCTGTCCGGGGTGAGGGTCGGGACCCTTTAAGCACAGTCCTCGGCTAGCCTGAGACAGCATCTCCACGCTCTAAGTCCTCCTCTGATGCCCTGCCGGCACTGCTTCCGGCCAGCCTTAAACCCGGTTCAGGGTCCACTCTGTGTGGACATGCTAGTTCGAATTAGCGCTGTAGTGTAGACATACCGTCAGTTACTTCTGTGCAAAGTGCATGTGAAAAGTGGGGATTTATGAGAAATGAAGCATGCTGTTGAAGAAACATGGGGTGGAAGAAGAGTTGCTGAAGTAGTAATTATGCTTACCCCTTTTTATGGCACTTTGAAAACATAAAGAGCTGAGTAAAATATTGAATAATTGAGTCTCTTTTTTATTATAGTTCTAGCCCCAAAAAGATACTCCTTTTCCATGTTTTAAATGCGTAGTGTTGAAATAAATGTAATTACACTGAGATTTAATATATTGGCTTACATGCTACTGAAGCTTTGAATCACAAATGCAGCTCTGATAGGAACTCTTGGCACAGCGTGGGAGAGAATGAGAATGTATGTCAGGCATAGGAAACATAGAGAATGATGTTTACATAATTACAGAGTTGTGAAACTAGCCATCAAATTGAGAATTAAGGTGGATATAGAATCCTTTCAAACTGTACACATGTGCAGGAAACAAAGAACAGCATTTGGAGTTAGAGGTTCCTTAACTTTTCATGTTGCATTTCCTTTGTTAGTGTGAGTTGTACACAAGGATTTTGTTGCTTGTTTGTTTTGTTTTTTGTTGTTCAGATTTGAGTGGCAGAGAGGTGAAACTAGCGATTGACTAGCAAATGGGACAGTAACATCTCAGATCTGAGGGCCAAGTCATGACTATCTCTGGGTGCATTATAAGCAAGAGAGCGAGTACAATGCATAATGGAGGCAGACATTACTTGGATATATGGGCTCCGAGAGTGGGTGCAGGCTGTGGGAGTGGGGCCAGGGATGTGGGTGTTGAGGTGCAGGAGGGGGCTCTGGGCTGAAGCTGAGGGGCTCAGATTGTGAGAGTGGGCTCATAGCAGGGGCAGAGGTGTGGGAGGGGTGAAGGCTTTGTCTGGGGGTGTGGATTTGGGGGTGAGACCAGGAATGAAAGGTTTGGGTGCTAGAGGATGAGCAGGACTGGAGCAGGGGGAATAGGATATGTAATGGGGCGGGTGCAGGCTCTGGCAGGGAGTTTGGGTGCAGAATGGGGCTCAGGGCCAAGGCAGAGGATTGAGGTGCAGGATTCAGGATGAAGTTATGGTGCAGAAGAGATTCCAATCTGAAGCAAGAGGTTTGGAGTGAAGGATTCAGCCAGGTAGCACTTACCTCCGGCAGCTCCTGGTCAGCAGCACAGCATGCTAAGGAAAGCTCAATGTGGCTCCTGGAAGTGGCTGGAATGTCTATCTCCTAGGTTCAGGGCAGCCAGGCAGTTCTTTGAGCTTCCTACATCCACAGACTCACCCCTGCAGCTCCCATTGGCTGTAGTTTGCGG